TTTTTTCCCCCTCACTCTGTTTTCTTTGCTGGAGGTTAGAAAAGCACTGTCGAAATGTGATAGGAGCCCTAGACTTTGTTGGGGAGGTTCCGTTGTTTGCACTCGCTTGTCCAAAGTCCACAGCCATCAGGAGGGCCTGGCTCCCCAGCACTGTCTGTGATTGGGGTGTGCTCAGTGCTTCCTTTTGAAATGAAAGGTGGCAGGATCTTGGGGTAGTGGAAGCAATTCTGGGGGGAATCACGACACTTGAGTTCTAACTAAGCCTTTTTCAATCTGAAATTATGAGATCAGGGTTTCTTCTTTTTAATTAATTTATTTTTATCAAATTATAGTTGATTTACAGTGTTGGGTAATCACAACACAGTTTTTTATATGTAAATCTGAATCACTGTGCTGCACACCTGAAAGAAACTGAATCACTGTGCTGTACACCTTAAACTAACACTACATTGTAAATGTATTGGGTTGGCCAAAAGTTTGTTCGGGTTTTTCCATAACATCCTATGGAAAACCTGAATGAACTTTTTGGCCAGCCCAATATTATATCTATTCTTTTTCAGATCCTTTCCCACATAGGTTATTACAGAATATTGAGTAGAGATACAGTAGGTCCTTGTTGTTTATCTATTTTATATATAGTAGTGTGTATATGTTACTCCCAAATTCCTAGTTTATCTCGACCCCCCAACCTTTCCCCTTTGGTAACCATAAGTTTGTTTTCAATGTCTGTGAGTTTATGTCTGTTATGTAAATAAGTTCATTTGTATCATTTTTTTAGATTCCACATATAAGCTGTATATGATATTTGTCCTTCTCTGTCTGACTTACTGTACTTAATATGATAGTCTCTAGGTCCATCCGTGTGGCTGCAAATGGCATTATTTCATTCTTTTTTTATGGCTGAGTAATATTCATTGTATATGTGTATCACATCTTCTTTATCCATTCATCTGTCAATAGACATTTAGGTTGCTTCCACTGTTGGCTACTGTAAACAGTGGTGCTATGAACATAGGGGTGCATGTATCTTTTTCAGTTATGGTATTCTCTGGATATATGTCTGGGAGTGGGATTGCTGTATCATATGGTAGCTCTATTTTTAGTTTTTTAAGGAACCTCCATACTGTTCTGCATAGTGGCTGCATCAGTTTAAATTCCCTAATTATTAGGGAAATGCAAATCAAAACTACAGTGAGGTATCATCTCACACCAGTCAGAACGGCCATCATCAAACAGTCTACAAATAATAAATGCTGGAGAGGGTGTGGAGGGTTTCTTTTTGATGGAGAAGTCTGCACCAGGGCTGGCTTCTGTCTTGCTAATTAATCTCCTTGTCCTCCTTCCAGCCCCACTTGCCTGCCCTGGACAGGGGTGGCCTTTCTCTCCTTTGTACTGCTTGCGTGGTGAGTGCCACATCCTTTGCTCAGCTGGCGTGCTTGTCACACTGCCTTCCTGTCTGGTGCCCACTCTAGGTGACAGCTCCAGAGAACAAGGGCCAGTGCTCTATCTGTCCAGTCTAGGGGGCCCAGCACTACACAGCACTGGGCTCATCCAAGGGTCTGATGGATGCTGGGATGAGTGAGGGAGGGAAGCTGGGGCTAGTAGATTGCTTCTCTTTCTTTGTTCTTGCCTTACGTACTAATTATTTAGGTTCATTCTGACCTCTTTAGGAATAGCAAGTCTGAAAGACATTTATGACATCATTATTACTTTAAGAGATACAGTAATATATACCACTGTGTCTAAGTATATAAGGAATTATACCTTGTTATCCTGAGCAGGATTGTCCTTTGGGAAACATAATTAATTCACATCATGGGCATTTGTTTGTTGAGTGCATAGAAGCATCATGGCATCTACTGTGGGTAGACAAAGATGACTGAGGTCGAGATCATGCCCCAGAGGGGCCAACAGGGGAATTCATAAATATTTTGTGGATGATAATGTTGGTTAACAATTATTGATAAAATTGGTCTTGGCGGAGTAGTTATATGCAAAGTGCCTGGGGATTTTATGTTGGGGATCAGGCAAGTTTAATAATTTCAGCATAAATTCTGAGCATTTATATTCAGATTTAGCAAACTTCTGTCTTCTTGGTCAGCTTTTCCAATTTTTAATACCCAAAGTGAAGTCCAGAATGAGACTAGAGGTTTGGGCGCTGAAAAGGAATGTGTTATTGGCGGTACAAAATGCAAGGCCCTATTTAGGGCCTTCTCCCTGATGGTGATGGGAAGTGGGAAGGGTTTCAAGGGGATACTTTGGAGAAGAAATGCTTGTGAAATACAAGGGAAATTACAGGGTCCCTCCCCTGCCCTTTCATGTTGGCATTAAAGGGTAAGAGAGCTCTAAATAATATGCCATCACTGGGTAGCTTTGCAAAGAATCGAATCTGAACAAACCTTTGGATTGCTTTACTAAAATTTATTTATCCATTTTTTAAAATCATTGAACACTTATGTTTTTTTCCTAAACTTTTATTTTGAAATAATAACACTGATTTATATTCTCATAGATACATTTTGTGCACAACCATGATGATAGTTTTAAGATAAATTTTAGAAGTGGACTTACTGGGAAAAGGTATTAAATATAATAATACCCTTTATTATTATAAAGGGTATAAAATATAATTAAATATATTTTTAAGGCTTTTGATATTTATTGGCAAATTGTCGTAGAGCAGCACTGTCCAGTAGAAATTTTTGTGACAGTGGGAATGTTCTGTATCCGTACCCTGTCCAGCGTTAGTCACACTTGAATTGTGACTGGTGTTACCAAGGAACTGAATTGTTAATTTTATTTTATTTTGATTAATTTTGGTTTGAAGTTAAATAGCCACATCTGTGACTAAGGGCTGCAGTATTGACAGTGCAGGTCTAGGAGATCTCAAACAAATTACATTTCCACTAGCCATATATATATATATGCATATGTATATCCACAGATATATATAAATATATCAGTTCCCTGTGCCCTCATCAACATGAATTTTTTTTTCATAAAATCTTGACAACTTGATAGGTGAAAAAGCTTATTTTTATTCTATATTATTATTTGTTAGTGAGGTTGAGTACCTGTGGGCATTTACTTTTTTTCATTTTTAAAATTAATTTCATTTCATAAAGTTTTAATCATTTTAATTGTCTGCTTTTGCCCAGTTATACATTATGTTCATCTTATTCTTTTTTATTTTTATTTTGTATTAATATTAGTAATCTGTGTCTCATTTTACAGATATTTTTCCCAGTTGACATATTTAAGTATTTTTGTTTATGTTTAAATTAGTGTAAAGCACGTAAATACTTTTCATGAATAGGACAAGCATTTTCTTTTTTTCTTCTTTTTTAAAAATTTTATTGGAGTATAGTTGATTTAAAAAATTGTGTTAGTTTCAGGTGTACAGCAAAGTGATTCAGTTATACATATACATATATTCATTTTTTCTCAGATTCTTTTCCCACATAGGTTATTACAGAATATTGAGTAGAGTTCCCTTTGCTATACAGTAGGTCCTTGTTGGTTATCTGTCTTATATACAGTAATGTGTGTGTGTTAATCCCAAGCTCCTGATTTATCACCCCCCACCCATGTTTCCCCTTTGGTAACCATAGTTTGTTTTCAAGATCTGTAAGTCTGTTTCTGTTTTGTAAATAAGTTCATTTGTATATTAAAAAAAATTAGATTCCACATAAGAGTGATATCATATGGTATTTGTCTTTCTCTGTCTGACTTACTTCACTTAGTATGATAATCTCTAGGTCCATCCATGTTGCTGCAAATGGCATCATTTCATTCTTTTTTATGGCCATGTAGTACTGCATTGTATATATATGTACCATGTTTTCTTTATGCATTCTTCTGTTGATGGACATTTAGGTTGTTTCCATGTCTTGACTATTGTAAATAGTGCTGCTATGAACATTGGGGTGCATGTGTCTTTTCGAATTACGCTTTTCTTCGGACATATGCCCAGGAGTGGGATTGCTGGATCATAGCATTTTCAAAGAAACTTTCGTTCCATTTAAAGTAGTTTATGGGGCTCAGGGATGAAGAATGAGAAGAGAAAGAGATGAAGAGAGTGAGGCCGATCTGCCCCTAGGGAAAGGATGGAGATGTGGACCAGGGGTGGGAAAAGAAAGAGGACCACGGGGAGAAAGAAGAGCCAGCCCCAGATGTAGAGAGGAGGAATGAGGACACAGGAGAGTGGGGTTTGCTGCCTGGGAGCAGGATGGGGAGGGAGTATGGCTTCCAGCATCCTCTCTAGATGTTGGAGATTAGGATTGTCTTTGAAATAATAAACTGATGAACCGGAACGTTCCAGTGCTCTTCCTCCTACATCATAAGACCTCCCCTCACCCTTCTCTGCACCGTGTCTAGTAACCAGGACAGTATCACTCTCTATGGCAAGAATCTAGTGGGGCGTTTTGTTGTTACCAGATCGTTCAACACAGGGAATCTAGGAGAAAAGCAGCATGGTTCGTGATTAAACCAGTGTCCACTTCCAGCCAGAGGACCTGAATTCAGTCCTGCCTTTTATCACAGCTTTAAGCCTTTTTCTGAATAATTGTCGACAAGTCCTTTGACCTCTCGACATCCTGGTTTCCTCTTAGGTGAGATGGGAGTGACACTGCCTCCCTTCCCTCTTGTGGCCGTGGAGACCAGCTGGGATGTAATCTGTGGTCAGGTGCTTTGGGAAGTTCATGCAGGGGCTCAGTGGAGGCTGGTGGTGGCGGTGGAGGTGAGAGGACTTCCTGGTGGTGGCGGCGGTGGGGATGATGCAGCAGAGCGTGTGGAGGGCAGTGCTGGCAAACGCCACATTGGGAAGAGGCCAGTCTTTCTCACAGGTAGTCTCAAGGTGCCAAAACTTACCAAGAAAATTCAAGTGCACCAAACAGTACTTTTTGAACACCTTACGCTTCTTTATTTGCATAGTGATAATGAAAGTCTCCTATTCATAGATTTTTACCAACCTTCTTTTATATCTTTTTTCCCCCTTCCAGATGAACGGGACAAAGTTCAGAAGAAAACATTCACAAAGTGGATAAATCAGCATCTCATGAAGGTCAGTGTATATTTCTTTTGCATCTTGGAATTGTTTTGCAGGTTTTAATTTATTGTACAGTACTTGTTGTACTGTACAATACTTGTTGTATGGCTGTGAAGCACAGCTTTTCAGCATCAAGTGGGAAGTTTCAGTTCTAGAGCATTTCACATGCATTTCAGGCATCTGTTATTATTTGGTATATGGTCTGTGGGTCATGATGGGGGTGGTAGATGAGTGCCCAGTGATTGCAGTGTCTTCTGTGACATGAGTAAAACCTCTTATTATTGGACTCTAAAAAATCTCATCAGGTTAAGAAATATGTAAATATTTACGTTAGGGCATTGAAAAACTGCAATTCTCAGTAATGTTTTTTCCTCTTAAGATTCCAAGCAAGTTCTGGCATCAGATTTATGCAGATGGCAGAGAGTTAGGTGGGACTAAGGATGGTTTATTTAAAAAAAAGAAAAAAAAAAGGGACTACCTTGGTGATCCAGTGGTTGAGACTTTGCCTTCCATTGCAGGGGGCGGCGGGTTCGATTCCTGGTCAGGGAGCTAAGATCCCACATGCCTTGTGGCCAATAAACCAAAGCATAAAACAGAAGCAATATTATAACAAATTCAATAAAAGACTTTAAAAGTGGTCCACATCAAAAAAAAAATCTTTAAAAAAAAGATAAAAAGGACGGATTACAGACAGAAGTCTAGACAACTAATCAGTTTATCTCTTGTATTTAGTATGACCCAGAGATTGGTGCTTATGTGTATGTTTCTCTGTGAAGCAGTTAATAGTTGTGGTTCTTAAATTAATATTTATTTGTGTGCCATGGGTCACTTTGAGAATCTGATGTAAGCTCTTCCAAAAAATACACATGTGCACAACGTTTGCATACAATTTCATGGAGTTATTGGGTCCCAATTCCAGTAGAATTATTGGATCGATGGGACCCAATAACTCCATAAATCTCAGCTAAAGAGCCCATAGGATTTCACAATTAACTCTTAGTCACTTTCTTCCCCTTTTATGGACAGTCCTGAAGTCGGAGAGAAGGTAGTATTTTAAATCTGTTGTTTGGGACTTGGAAAGAGTTTTCTCGCATAGAAACATTATGTTAATGGGTTATATCCCTAAGCTATCCTACAGATCCTATTCAAACCATCATGTACCCTAGGGGGATGGTGCCAGTACTGTAATAGCATTTAATAATCTTCTCTAAAAGCGATTCTTATTTCAGGGAGCATATCAGATTACCTGAGAGAAGTTTTAGTCCCCTCTCTCTCATCACCCATGGACAGAATCCTTTTCCCAAATCTGTTATGTCCTTCTGGGGGGCCATGTCATTCACCCCCCAACTGAGACTCACTTCTGTAAGGATTTCTGTTACTACTGGGATTTCTGTTACTAATCCTCTGATGTGTTGGCTGGAGATAAAAGGTGGAGACTCTCTGCTTTATGATGCTCTTGTGAGGCAGTGTCTTGTGAATTCTGAGGAAGGTATCACACCAGCAGTTTACCTGCCCTCCCCCAGTCTTTTGTGTCATCTTTTGTGTCCCACGCACTCCGTGTAAGCAGGGCTCTGCTACAGGCTAGGGCAGAGGTGGGCTGATGTGAGGGTTGCATTGTGGAACGTTGGAGCTGAAGGCTCTGACAGGACTTCCCCATCTCTGAGCTGAGTCCAGGGGGAGCGAGGTTTTGGATGAAGAGATGGCCCTTTGGTGGCTCCTGGCCTGGCAGTCTTTGTGGCTGTGGCCATCTGGGGGTGGCACGTCGGGGACACAGAGGGCTTCCCCGTGTCTTTGGGAGTGTAAGTCACAGTGTTGGCAGTGGAGGGTAGAAACCCATGAGGATGACTCCTGTGGGAACACAGCACTGGTACAAGATGGATGTTCCTTGGGGACCTACTGGGTACTGGGCGTGTTGGGCTGGGCCACTCACCTTACGAGCAGCGTGTAAATTGGATGAATGCGTGTAAGGAAGCTGCCTTTGCTCAAAATTCAAAACACTAGTTGAGCTTTTTGAGGACATGTCTGCATTATCCACTCCTAGGGCATATCATGGGGCCTGGCAAGAGTGTTCTCACCATGTGTAACGCCCATGGCAAGTTTTAAATCACTTAATCCTCCAACAACCCTCCAAGGTGGTTTAATTTAGTGGTTAGGCCCACAAAGCCAGCACAGTCAGACAGCAAGGGTTCAAATCCTGATTTACTTGGAGTATGTGACCTCTTTTTTTGATAAAATGACACATCTAGAAGATTTTAGGCTTACTTCTGCTGCAACCCAGTAAGAAATAGGAAAATAAGTATTTTACGTGCAACAGCCATTAGATAGATGCCAGTCTAACTAATTAGGGTTATAATCAAATTAGCTTATTTGTTTCTTGAAGTAGGGAAGAATTTAAAATTCACTCTTACTGAAAAATTGTGCACTGAAATTTCTGACCCAAAACTCACATATGTGAGAACATAGTTTTTTTTTTTTTTTTTTTTTTTTTTTTTTGTGGTACGCGGGCATCTCACTGTCGTTGTGGCCTCTCCCGTTGCGGAGCACAGACTACGGACACGCAGGCTCAGTGGCATGTGGGATCTTCCCGGACCGGGGCACAAACCCCGTGTCCCCTGCATCGGCAGGCGGACTCCCAACCACTGCGCCACCAGGGAAGCCCCTAAACATTTATTTTTTTATGTCTGGAAGCTAGAGCATTACCCTCAAGTGAAGAAAAATCATCAGATATCCCTAAACGTTTTGGGGCACCAGGCTCTTCAGGTCTGTGTTGTGAGTTGACCAGAGAAAGGCCAGATTTCGTGTCATCTTTTCCATGTTTCACCCACGTGTTGATAAGAGGAATGTTGGATACTGTTACTGTTGGGGGCCATTTGGTTGTAACCCAATTAGTAGGAAATGCAAAGTAAGTAAATGGATTTTAGATTAGAAATCTCTATATTAGAAAGAAATATTTCTTCTGTGTTGATCTTCTTATAGTCTTCCCTCAAAATATTGAACATATTCAGGGAGAAACAGGGACAGGAGAGAAGCAGATCTCTTACCTTTCTTGCCTTACCTTATTCCCTTGCAACGAATGAAAGTGTGTTATTTGAAGAGTTTTTCATAAAATTAGATTATGTTATATAAATGTTAAGGGAAAGGGTGACCATGAGGAACGAGTCAGCAAAATGAAGGAATAATTGATGGGTAAAGAGAGAAAAAAAGTGGGAATAAAATCATTTAGATAATATTCGAATAATTTTATGTGTGTACTCACTCTGTTTTGTCATTTTAACTGTAGACCTTCCCCTTAAACAATGGGGAAGGGAGGGGGAAAGGGGGTTAGAAAAGAGAGAAGAAGGGGTGGAGGAGGTTAAAGGGGGAAAAGAGGGGAAGGATGCCTACCTTGTGCCCTGGGCTGCCCCCCATAGCCCGGGAGTTGTATGCTGGGACCAAGTTCTGGAGACTCTGCCCTGGGCTTATTAGCTGCCTGGGCTGCTGACGCAGGCCAGAGTGTGCTCCCCATCTTTTGAAATAATTCTTAAAAATTTTGCCCTTTCTAAGTGATTATTTTATGTGTTTATTGTGGTTTGATATTATGTAATTATTTTACCCAAGTTGTGGCTCCAAGGAGATCTGTTGTTAGTAGTACTGCTCCTTTGGGCAGTGAGGAAATTGAGAGCTTAGTTCCAGAGCAGACCTTCCTCACTGGATTTTCCTTTTCATTTGATAAATAGTATATTTTGTCTTTGAAAGAAGACTCTCCTACAAGGTTGTCAGTCTGTGACATGTAAGGCAAAGATGGAAGGTAGACAGCTCTGCACTTTATTATTGGTGTGACCGTAACCTTTTTCGCCGTCATCTGTAAATAGTGGATTAGTGTGAGGATTTGATGAGGTCGTCCATCTAAGCATAAAGTATGGTGCTTGGCAGATTGTCAGCACTCAGTCAGTGAGAGCTGGTGGAAGAGTGGGCTGACGTGGATGGCTGCAAACCAAATAGTAAAGCAGGGGTGGGGTGCCTCTCGTGCCCTGCTACCTGCCTTATCCAAATCTCTTCTTTACCTCAAGTACTTTCCCTCTTAGTACATCTGTTTTAGAAGAAGCTAGGGTTTGGGGGTCAGAATCTGTGGGGGAGATAGATTGGCCGTCTTGCCTTGGAGTCCTGCTGGGTCACTTGAGCCGCACCCTCTCTACACACCCCTCCCTTGTGGTCTGTGGGTTGATCTTGGGGGCCCAAAGGCCTGTTTTCCTCTTCTCCCACACACTCCTCTCGCAGAAAAGGTGTCTGTGAAGACTCAGCACACTCCTGGTCCTCGGTTGTACCTTCACTTGGATTTGCGCTTGGGGGATAGCTTTTGAATTGTCCAGTTTGCTTCCCCTGATTTAAGAGAGGGGGCACCCGCCACAGCCCCTCCTGGTCTAGCTGCATCAGAAGCCACATAGCGAGAGCAGGACTTGGCTGGGGGCCCAGGTCAGCCTTGGGCTCCTTGGTGTACTGGGACGTTTTGTAGATGCCAGCAGGTTCCCCTTGGCTGTTAGACTGTTTACTTTTCTCCACTTTATACTTTCAGGTATTTGCTAGTTAATCCTCGTGATTTAGGAAGTTAGGATTTATGCAGCAGTAAACTAGCATATACCCAGTGCCCAGGGGATGCTTCTAGCAAGGTCAATTTTTAAAAGTTTATGTGACTGAGAAAAGTAAACATCGTGGAGCTTTTAGATGATTGCTTAAGTTACTATTATATCCATATGTGTAAGCACTGTTTCCTTAAAATACTTGGTTAGGATTTTTTAATATAGCTTTTTCTCCAGAAAACAATTAATATAGACTTATATTTATCGAGCTAAAATTACATTTGTTTAAACAGTTTGCTTAATTAAAACTCATGTTTGTTGGTGAGCAGACGTCTTTGGCTTTTTTCCAGATGTATCTAAATTTTAGTGCTCTGGTATTTCAGTTGTATGACTAAGCCTGTCCTTATTTAAACTGATTGTTCTGGCGAGAATGTTTTCCTTTTGATTCCTCATTCTGTG